GCAATATGACCAAATTCCTGCCGAACTTCCTCCTGGCGAACCACATCAACCTCAGACAACACCTCACCACCTTGTTTCTCCTCCAACCTCTAGCTTTCTGCCCCTCCAATTGCCCAAAAACCTCCCTATTCCATCTCTTCAAATCTAACTTAAGGAGTTTTAATTTTTTCGCTAACCGTGAACTAGGCAATCCTGCCACATTGTAAGTCACCCACCAGCCTTTAACCATCTCCACAAAGCCCTCAGATTGTAACAACATATTCTCAAACTGAAAAGGCGTCGGACCACTTCTAATACCACCACTATCCAACAAAATTGGCCAATGATCTGAAGTGGGACGTTGTAACCGCCGTTGAGTTGCCTGAAAGAAATGCTCCTCCCAATCCCCTGTGGCCAGAAATTGATCAATTCGAGACATCACTCCACTCCTGAACCAAGTGAAACTACCGCCTTGAAGCGGAAAATCTACCAATTCCATTTCATTAATGAAAGAAGAAAAACGCCACATTGGACCCCTCCCTGAGGAAGCCCCCAATTTCTCCTCCAGACACCAAACTACATTGAAGTCCCCACCCACACACCACGGGACCCCCCAGCGATAAGCTATAGTCTGTAGCTCCTCCCAAAAGCTTGGTCTCTCTACTCCCCAAACTAGCCCATAAACCCCTGCGAAGGCCCATCTAAAATCATCCTCTACACATCGAAAGAGGCAAGACAAAGAAAAACCCCCCAATTTTACATCCTCCTTCACCACCACTCGTTGATCCCAACACAGAAGAACACCCCCAGCCACCCCCAGTGCAGGGAGGAAATCCCAGTCCACAAATCTACCACCCTAAAGATCCCGAACTACCGCCCCGACAATACAGTCCATCTTTGTTTCCTAAAGACAAACCACATCTGCCTGTGCACTTCTAAGGACGGATTTCACCAAAACCCACTTCCCCTTGTCATTCAATCCTCGCACATTCCAAGACAAATTTTTTAACCACATGATAACAACAATGGCTGATCGAGGTACGGATTCAAGAGGTGGCTCGTACGGATTCTAGAGGTGGCTCCCACTATAGTGTAGCACTTAGTTCCGCACAGCACTTTGGTCCGCATAGAACAGAGGTACGGATTCAAGAGGTGGCTCGTACGGATTCTAGAGGCGGCTCCCACGATAGTGTAGCACTTAGTTCCGCACAGCACTTTGGTCCGCATAGAACAGAGGTACGGATTCAAGAGGTGGCTCGTACGGATTCTAGAGGTGGCTCCCACTATAGTGTAGCACTTAGTTCCGCACAGCACTTTGGTCCGCATAGAACAGAGGTACGGATTCAAGAGGTGGCTCGTACGGATTCTAGAGGCGGCTCCCACGATAGTGTAGCACTTAGTTCCGCACAGCACTTTGGTCCGCATAGAACAGAGGTACGGATTCAAGAGGTGGCTCGTACGGATTCTAGAGGTGGCTCCCACTATAGTGTAGCACTTAGTTCCGCACAGCACTTTGGTCCGCATAGAACAGAGGTACGGATTCAAGAGGTGGCTCGTACGGATTCTAGAGGCGGCTCCCACGATAGTGTAGCACTTAGTTCCGCACAGCACTTTGGTCCGCATAGAACAGAGGTACGGATTCAAGAGGTGGCTCGTACGGATTCTAGAGGTGGCTCCCACTATAGTGTAGCACTTAGTTCCGCACAGCACTTTGGTCCGCATAGAACAGAGGTACGGATTCAAGAGGTGGCTCGTACGGATTCTAGAGGCGGCTCCCACGATAGTGTAGCACTTAGTTCCGCACAGCACTTTGGTCCGCATAGAACAGAGGTACGGATTCAAGAGGTGGCTCGTACGGATTCTAGAGGTGGCTCCCACTATAGTGTAGCACTTAGTTCCGCACAGCACTTTGGTCCGCATAGAACAGAGGTACGGATTCAAGAGGTGGCTCGTACGGATTCTAGAGGCGGCTCCCACGATAGTGTAGCACTTAGTTCCGCACAGCAATTTGGTCCGCACAGAACATAAGTCAACGGATCCATGACAAACAGAGGATCACAAAGTGGTCAAAACAAAAGCCAATGGTTATTTAAGTCTTCCAAGGCGTGGGACTCCCGTGGTGGTACTTACAAAACATAATTGTTTATAAGGTCATATTCAAATATTCTTTAAAATATAAACAAACATATCCATGGGTTCCCTTTTAAGCAAATAGGATTCAGAAGATAAACCACGTAACTGAAACCTTTATAAAGCATAACTTTTATTAAAAACATAACTTGTATAAAACAGATTTTGATAAGTCAAAACATACGTAAAATATATTTTGGTGACTCAAGGTATAATAAAACTCACCTTAACTTTAATACCTTATTCTTTCTTTCCACTATTAAAGACCCTTTTAACCTCGACTATTATTTCCTTCCTTTTCTCTCTTTTCTTTCTTTCCTTTCCTTCTCTCTTTCTTTCTTCTTTCTTTTCTTTCCTTCTTTCTTTCTTTCTTCCTGGGCACTTCGCCCCTTATATACAGAGGCAGCCGTGGGCTGCCACGTGTCACACTCCCATTCGCTTATCATTAATTCGTTCTTATCTTTAATAAATATTTAAGATAATTATCATTTGACTCAATTTTTTAATATAATTATATAAATTAATTAATTCTTAATTAAATTATACATTATCACATACTAACAGAAAATTAATTATTTATTTTATTATTATGTCCATTATTATTATTATTATTTATATTTTGATCCCTAAACTTTTAATAATTATATTATTTTACAAAATCACGCATAATAATATATAATAAATTATATATTTTCCGAACTGAGATTAAATAATATTAGTATAAATTCTACAGAATAATTAAAAATCCGGGTTCTTACAAACCCAATCAAACACAAAAATCAAACTCACCCATAGATCTGGATCTACTAGAAAACAAAAAAAAATCAACAAATCATCTCCATCTTCAACACATCATCATCAACAACAACAACATCTTCATCAACATCACCATCACCATCACCATCATCAACACATCATCTTCATCTTCAGAGCCAAGAAAAAAAAAAAAGAGAGAGAGAGAGAGAAAACAGAAATCGCAAGGTCACCGTCGCACCCTCCCTCCATCACTGTCCACCGTCGCACCCTCCATCACCGTCGCCCCGCCCCGCCATCGTCGTCGCCTTTCTTTCTCTATTTCCGTCTCTCTTCTCTCCTCCTCTCTCTTTCTCTCTTGCCCTCCCCCTCTGTTCAGATATAAACAAGAAAAAAAAAATTGCCAAAACGACGTCGTTTTGGCATTCGGGGGATTCGAGCTCTCACTCATTTTCCAATACTTCAACACTAGGGATAGCTATTTAAACCCGGCCCGACGGGGACCCGATCCCCCGACCCCTATTATAACAGATTTTTTTCAAAAATTATCCTCATAGGGTCAGGGATAGTATTAAAAATTGAATCCCCGATTGTTTTCGGGCCGGGGACAGGGATAGTTAACCCAACCTCGGCCCCGGCCCCGGCCCGGCCCGGCCCCGAATTATCCCCGCATGACTCCCCGAATATTCCCTGAATATTCCCTATATATATATGTAACATGTTTGACTCTGCTTCTTACCCACATGCATTTCATTTCTCTCTCTAATAGTCTCAGTCTCTCTCTCTCTCTCTGTGTGTGCGCAGCTGCTCTCACGGCGTCGCTATCGTCCCTCCATCGTTGATCTCCCTCCTCCCATCATCGTCGATCGTCGACCTGCTCCCTATCGCCGCTGTCCGCTGTCCTTCCTCCCCATCGCCGCTGTCCTCTTCCCCCCTCCCCATCGCCGTCGTCCCTCATCTCCATCACCGCTGTTTGTGACGCCGATCATCCTCCTCCGTTGTCACAGTCACCCATCTTCCTCAGATCTAGTTCAAAACCCCCAGATCTGGTTCGATTTTGACTATTTACGGAAGTCCATTCGCGCATATAAAGATCAACTACGATAATGTGAAGAGCTTTGATTTGCTGTTTAAGATCAACTACAAAAATGAAGATCACTTGGTTTGCTTTGAATATGAACATTTGTTTGATTTTTTTTTTATTATTTTTTTTTAGTGATAATGACGATGTTGATGATAATGGAGTCACTGATGTTGGATGCATTTGTTTTAGCTTGTTTTATAGATTGTTTAATCTTTCCTTTGAATAAAAAAATAAATAAATCTGATATGCTATTTAATTCGGGGATTTTTCGGGGTTGGGGATACCCGATCCCCGTTAAGGGGCAGGGGCTGTGATGGGTTCCCCACCGGGGATTGGGGGCGGGGACGGGGAATTTTGTAGCCTCGGGGATCGGGGATTGGGAGTGTAATCCCCGGCCCCGACCCGGCCCGTTGCCATTCTTAGTTCTGGTTACTGAAAGCTGATTACACATTTGTGCAGAGGGTTTTCTGGATGGGTCATTTTGATAGTGTAAGTCTATTCCCTGGTCCATAATGAGGCTTTTGTAAATTGGGAAAGAGCCTATATCTGTTGTACTTCTAATTCCTGAACTAGTTGCCATTACCCAAGTATCCAAACAGTTCTATATTGGTTGTTTCAGTAAGTTGACAACAATAGAACTATTTAAAATCCATCTAAAGGTTAAACATCGTTTTGTCTTTATTGTTATAATCAACTTCATACACTGCATGGCCTTTTAATAGGCATTGGGTGAAATGCTTTTATTTTTGGTTTTTGTTAATGAATGCCCCAATTGCACTCGTTAGCAAGCTTGAAATGCTTGTACATTCTTTATAAAAGTGTCTGCCGAAAGGAATGTGCCACCATTGTAAGCTTTGTTAACCACTACTCTTAGGGTACTTGCTAACACAACCCTTTGTTGAGGGACAAACTAGTGAATATCAAAATTTCTCAATTAAAAATTATATAAAACTAGTGATAGTTTGGAAGTAGTAGAGGCAAGATTATTTGTTTTTATCTTTTAGAAATTTTGTGCCAATCTAATTTGAAGCTTATTTGCTTATTGACTGTGCAGATAACTGCCGCTGTTTCACAATTTGCAACACCCATCTTTTCAAAAGGAAACCAGTGTTATCGAGTACCCATCAGGTTCATCCCGCAGATGATTTTTCTGATATTTGTTTGGAACTCATTTATAAGAATAAATAGTATTACATGATTGTTTAGACACCTGAAATGATCCATATTTGTTCATATGCAGTATAACTGAGATATTTCCTTCGGTTGCTTTTAACTTTGCTGGTGGTGCATCCATGGTTTTAAGACCAGTAGACTACCTTGTACATGATGGTTTAGTTGTGAGTTCTCAAAATTACATCATTAATTGAATTTCTCTTTTCTCCATACTTTTTGAAATAGGCATGACTAATTTTATTTTTTTTACAGTGATGAAACGTATCAAGCTTCATTTGTTAATCTTAAATTGGACAATTCATTGTGACAGGATGGTGCTGCAATGTGGTGCATTGGCTTTCAGAAAACTCAGGATCAAGCGCTAACTATTTTAGGAGGTTGGTTCCAGCCCTAAAAGATATATTTTACTGGACAGATATGTTGGCATAGTGTTAGAATTGATCTATTATTGATTTATGTATATTGTTTATTACAAATGGTGAGGGGTTCCTTATATAGGAGATGTAGTGGAGTAGGTGGAGTAGGTGGTAGTGGTAGGTGTGTAGTAGGTGGTGGTAGGTGTAGTAGGTGGAGTAGGTGATGGTAGATTTTAACACATAGTGTAGTGGCTTAAGCATAAGATAACTTGCTCCTACCCCCCATGCCCTCATCTTTGGTGAGCAGTATTTAGCAGGTTTTTAGTCATTCCATTTTAGTGTAAGGCTATTTAGCAACTCAAAAATCTCCATATGGCACATGGGATGACACAACCTGTTCTAAATGCGACTAGGCATTTTTTTATTTTTTATTTTTTATTTTTTTGCTGATAAATATAATGCGACTAGGCATTTTGTCAAATTGGATTGGGATCACGCTAGTTGCTTGCTGCTCATCAGGCCTTCTTTTTTGTTTTTTCAAGTAAACTTGTGCTGCAATAAGTTTCTAATTTGCTTTTCCTATTTTGTTTTTGTGTATTTATTTAGTATTCCTAATCTTTTTGTTTAATTATCATATCTATGTATGCATATATTTAGATGGTCATATATTTTATGAGTATCAATATTCAATAGCATGGGGGGATAATTGTGCATGGGGGGATAATTGTGCACATGAGTTTATTGCATGTTTGGTATTGTTTTTGTTTTCTGTTTCATTTTCATTTTCTGGAAAACACGGAAAACTTGTTTAGCTATCCGTTTTCGAAAAGTGTATATAAAAAAATTCTGAGAACAACCCACTTTAAGGAAACCCCCAAACGCGATTTTTGCACAAAAAATCAGAACAATGGATGTATTTGAACTTTTGATTGTTTGTGTGTCTGGAAACACAAAACAATAATAAAATAAGGAAACAAAAATGATACAAGACAGGTTTTTTTTTTTTTTTTTTTTTTTTTTTTTTTTTTTTTTGTGTGCTGTCCAGTGACTTTTGTTGATTTGTCATGTGAAAAAAAAATGTTACCTTAGGGAATGTCATTATAACATTAGACAATCCAAGTTTCTAAATTGGGTACGAGTGTTGAACACATATCTCACACCCATACTCTTGTCATATCCGGTGCATATGAATACACTGGCAAGTAGAAGAGTCCATATAACACATGTTAGGTTAGCAAAACCAAAGCATAGATTATACATATAGCGTTGGTTGCAGGTGTACAGTTATTTCAGGTAAGTTTATGGTTTTTATTTCTTCACTCATTGTAAACCTAATGGCTGCCAAGTTTGCTTAATTGAAAGATTGCATTGCACTCCAGTTTGTGCAATATGGCATTTTATCTTTCTTCTCTTTGGTCTGTGAGCATTCTTGGTATCAAGAAGCTTTCTCTGCAGAAATTCCTCTTTATTGCACATATTCTACTCTGTTTGCATCCATGTGTGTGCGCGGGCATGCTTTAAAGTTCGTTGACATGGAAATACATTATAATGTGTGGCTTGAAATGGAACGTGAAATGCTTGATCAATCATTAAAGAGGACACCTTTAATTATTTATTTATTTATTTTGGTAAATAGGACACCTTTAATTATTTGAAGCAATGTTTTGAAAATCGGACCAGACCGGCCAGTTCGACCGGTTGAACTGTCAACCGGTCTATGGTCCGGTCCGGATATACCCTCTAACCCGTTCCCTCTTGAAAATTGGTCATTTTAAGCTAAACCGGTGCGAACCGTGGTTAAACCTCTAAATCAGACGAACCGTCTTGGGTTGAAGCAAACCGGACCGGTTTGCTATGTTTGGTCCAATATTGAAAAAGTTGATGTTAGAGGGACTTGAATCCAACACCTCAAGCTCCAAAGAGCATGAATTTCCACTCTGCCACCATGGTTTCTTGTTAATATATAGAAAATATATAATATTATGTGTATTCAAACAGATTTTCCTCAAACAAATCTATAATTAATATTTTTACAAACAATATTAATATAAAAATATATATAAACATATATGTTTGATGAATATATATATATATATTTAAATTATAAAAATATTTTAAATGAATGTATTTTATTTATTTTTAAATTATAAAAATATTCATAAAATAATTATGACATCACGATTTGATTCTGGTTCAACCCGACAGTTGAACTAGTGACCTGTTCACCCGATCTCTTTTCAGGTTCGCTCACCAGTCCGGTTTTTAAAACATTGACTTGAAGCTTTTTTAGGTTTTGACCACAAGTGTTCTTTCTTTGGTTTCCTAACGACTAATGATTATTTCTCCACTGAAAATCGCTGAATTATTTGTAGTATTTTCCTTCATAAGTCCTCTTTTTATAAGTGTTTTCCTTCTCAAGTGCTGTCAGCAAGTACAACACTATGTACTGGAGGTGAATGAACAGGAACATAAAACAACCTTTTATGGAACAAAAAAGGCCAATCCTTGCACGCCCTGATCCCAAAACCCTGTGATACGCTGTACATGGTTGTCAAATTCTTGACACAGATTGTAGGCTCTTACGATCCTACGACCTCAATTTAGCTACATGATCTGAATTGCACTAGGATCTTAAATTTTTTAGAGTCTTAGGTCGTATAGAAGCACTACAATCCCGATTCTACTATGATTCGATTCTACCAAATTTTTTACATATTATTTGTTTCGTATACATGTATGTGTATATATATCAAAATTTTAATCAAAACTCTCTCTGCAAATGTCTCCTCTTATGAGAATTCAATTTGCAAATTTCAAGATTGTGAAAACTTCTCTTTACTAATAGAACAAGATTTCTTCAAATTATTTGAATTAAAATGTTTGGAAAGAGATTTGAAAGTTTTGTCTCTTTAAATCAAAGTTAGCGCATTCAATTTAATATTTGAATAAAATTGTTTGGAGGGAGAGCTGGAAACTTGATTTCCCTCTAAAATCAATATTAGTGACCATTTTATCAATTTTTATTAATAATAGATATTTTTAGTGAATGTTATATAAAAATTTGTATTAGTATATTATTTATCTTTAATGATTTTAAAATTATGTAACATCCAATATCATTATTGATATTTTTTCACTTTATTTTGTACTAAAAGTAGAATCTTATGATCCTCGATTTGATTCTATGATCCGATCCACACTATCCTCCCAACGATCCCATATAAGATCCCCATTTTTAACAACCTTGATGCTATAGCTAAGAGATTGTTTTGAACATGAAGGAATATGAAGCTTCCATTCTTAGAAGGATGCTTTGGTGGGTCGGTGTATGAGGTTTAAAGACCTATAATGGTCGTGTGTGTAGTTGGTGCCCAATGCAAGATTTCATCTTGCAACTTGATCAACTACCCATGACTCTAAAATATGCACTTGGATTAGCAAAAATCTGACTCAAATTTTCAGTCTTAAATGAAAATCATTTACTAAATTATCTATTTTTGGCTAATTCTTCTTATCAAACCTTGCTCATTAAATTTGATGCATCTAGGTAACATCGAGCCTTGTCTTTGTGTGTGTTAAATTCTTTTGTGCTTCTTTCCAGCTTTGCATATGTCATGACTATTAGAAACATAATAAAGAAATAAATAGCATCTTTTACATTGTCCATGAGTATACACGGTTTCTACCAATTTTATGTTTCATTTACCCTTGAAGCTTGCAAGTTGTCAAAAGCATTGAGGTTTAGTTGCCTCACACGCTCACCTTTTAACATTGAGATTAATGAACTCATCGGCTTCTTTTTGCAGATCTTGTTCTTAAAGATAAGATTTTTGTTTATGACTTGGCTCATCAACGGCTTGGGTGGGCTGATTTTGATTGTAGGTCCATCAGAACTGTCTTTTTTTTCTTTCAAAAATGAACTCTCATAATTTATTTGAATTTCTCTTATTCAGGTTCATTGTCTGTAAATGTCTCCATAACTGCTAGCAAGGATGAATTCATCAATCCCGGGCAGCTGAGTGTGAGCGGCTCATCAAGAACCATGCTCTTCAAGTTGATATCAACTGGCATTACTCTCTTCATGCATATATCACTTTTTATCGGATTTCTCTTATTGTAGCTTAAAATCATCCTCTAAAAACCCTATTATTTGCTTGATATCTATTGACTCTACTGGTTTTTATTATAGTAATCAGCAGGGCAATCTGGTTACTGGTGAATGAGACCACTTCTGTTTTCCAATTCCGAATAGGAATCGACTTTCTATGATGAAAGCTCTGTCATTGTAAATTGTCTCCATACTCCTTGGTTCGAGGGTTTTTGAATGAAACTGCCGTCATTGAAAGTGGAACAAGATCTGTTTGAAGTGATTGCTTTCAAGTTGGCAAGAATTGTAGAAATACGGTAAATCTTTCGTAAAAGTGGGTTTGTTTTTGTAAGAAACATTTGTGAACTCTCTTTTCTTTTTTCATCTTTTTTTCTGTTATTTTATTTTCCCCCTTTTCTTAGTTTAGGCACAAAATACGGTTATAGCTAATCGATATTTGAAATGAAATATGTGATGTGTAAAAAAATTATGAAGCCATAATAAAATTTGCTGCTTTTAGTATAACAATTTTTATGTTCAGACATTTCTCTCTCTCTCTCTCTCTCTCTCTCTAAGCATAACTTTGGCAAGCACCAAACATTTTAGCTTTTACAAATAAGAAATGGAATTTAAAATGACAGAAAAAAAAGTTAATATAAGACTTGGCTAATAATCTTTAAATTCTTCGCTATTTTTTTAGCTTTAAATTCTGGTTTCCCAATTTTAGTACCTTGAATTTTTTTTGAATAAATCTTTTAAGTTACAAAAATGCTTTTCTAGTAAAAAAATTGTAAAATTTTCAAGATTCCTTTACAAATAAGGTTATCAGCAAAGAGTCATAAAAATGCTTTTCTAGTCTTTTGTGTTCTTAAACTTGCTGTTAACATGGTCTATTTGTTGGTTGACAAGATTTATGTAATCTGGTTTTGTTATAGAATGGGTGTCTGTTACAAATAGTCACCCTTAATTTATCTTTATTTAAAATTCAAAAATAATTAAGAAAAAATTATAGAATTCAAATTGATTTCAAATTTATAAACTATTAATATTGGTTTTTATCAATATGTTACAACTCTATCCATTAGAATGATATTTTCATTCCAATCTGATTTGCTAATTTATTTAACAATGAAAATCTTTAAGAATCTTGACTCAAAATAAATAATATGCCATGATGACATTTTCTTAACAAGGGTTGAGGGCGTGATTTCCAATTAAGCGGTTCAAGTCACATTTATTTTTAACTTTTTATGAAAGTGTCTATTGATCAATGTAGTAATGCTACATAAGCACAGGGAAAAAAAAATTATAGAAAAATTTGTAAAAAAAAAAAAGTAATGTGTGGCTCACGTTCATTCTAGGTTATGCTCGCAAGGTTTGTCTGAGATTTGTCTGTTCTATGTGGAGGGGGCCACTTTTGCGTGGGTCTCGTGATTAGTTGAGGTGCACATAAATTGATTCGGACATCCAGTCAAAAAAAAAAAAAAATGTAGAGAACCACATTCAAAATAAATTTTGGCTACAATTGGTGGAGAATGTGGGGTATTAACTATTTGTGTCAGATGATTGAGGAACATAAGAGACATAATGAATGGTGATTGGTGACAGAGTATGACCACGTGATACTCCGTGACTATTATATAATTTTCCTTAAGGTTTATTGGTGATAAGTCCATTTGTACAAGGCTATGATATTTTTTCCAATGATTGATCTTTTGTTCTAAGCACATGATAATGAAATTGATTTTTCTGTTTTTTTTTATGAAGTCCATTTTCCTGAGTATAATATTTGCCTCCACTCAATAATGTACATCGTGGAGTTTATAGTAAATTCCTCTTATTTACCAAGTAGAAAATTCTTGATTGAAAGGGCTCGTTTGATAATTGACTATTTTTATTGACTTTTTATGTAAAGATGTGTAGAAAATAAGAGAGAGTGATGTGACAACATATAGTGTTTTTTTGACATTTTAATTATTTTAACCTATTGACAAATCAAAATCAAGAGAAAGAGAGATTAAATTGCAGAATTCATTGATGGTTTGGAATGGCTAGATCTGACTGTTGTTGGATCGATCATCTACGGTGTCACTGCTACACATAGCTTATTGTTCTTCATGTCACTGTTGCCACGTTGGCCAATGGTCAGATCATCCACACTGCAGATTTGATCTCACACTAAAGAATTTGATTTTTAAAATGATATTAATTCTAGCCATAATTAATGAAATATGGACAATTTAGATAATTTAACTATTTTTAGTCGATGGTGCTAGATAGTAGCGGTGGTTATTGACTAGGAAATGAATGAGAGGGGTAGTAGAGAGGTGGAGAAGGGAAGAAATACCAGTGGACAGTGAGAGGGTAATTTATATGAAAATTGGGCCGAGCTAGGTAATGGGCCGTTATGGGCCACATTACGAAGGGCTGAGTAAAAAGGCCATAAAGTTACTCCAGTCCAAAGAAGGCATAAAGTTACTCCGGTCCAAAGGAGGCATAAAGTTATTCCGGTCCTAAATGAGGCTTAAAGTTACTCCGGTCCCAAAGAGCTTACGGTAAGCTCGGTCGTCACACACAAAGTTATCCCGGTCGGAACCACGTTATTGGTTATCCCGGTTGAAACATACCATGGTTAGCACTGGGAGAAACCGACGTAAGAGTAGTGAAAGGAAGAACCAAACTAGCTATAATTCGGTTTACTCTGCGGCTCAGCATAGCCATGCTTACCTCGGTCATATTGGAGTTCGACCATGGTAAAACCATCTCACTTGGTTCAAGCAGCAAGGCGGGTGCAGAAGGATAAACATTATCTTTCAGGAGTATGACTCCTAGGAGGACTCTACATGGAGGAGTAAGAGTCCTAGTAGGATTATGCCACGCGGAACCTATAAAAGCTCATAACATCACCTATGGAAAGGTAACACAACTCTTGATTCTCGAATACACAGAGCTTTTTGTCTATTTGTCTATTTTGCTGACTTAGGCATCGGAGAGGTATTCGGCACACACCCGCCGGCTAGCTCACGTTTGTGTTTTCAGGGAATAAAGCGACGACGTACGGAGGAGCGCAATCTTGATCAACAGGATTATACGGGAAGAATATTTCGTGCCCGTGCAATTGGCGCCGTCTATGGGAAGATCAGACTAGAACAAAACTTCTTGATCAAGCTTTTCCTCTTTAGAAGCAATGGCGCACAACGAAGATTTGCTGCAGTTCGCCATCGACAGACAAACACCAGAAGGGGGTGCAAGGCGTGAAGGCCTACCTTCTATCCCTCTCATGGCGGATTTGGAGCCACAGCGACAAAATCCCAGGATGGATGCAAGGGGGAGGAGGCGAACTAACAGCCCTCGTCACCCTCGTTCACGAAGTCCTGACAGACAAAGGCGGAGGATTGATCCTCAAGTTCTGGAGGACCGCGTAAAGGAGCAAGATAAATTAATAAGGAAGATGGCGGCGGACATGGAGGCCATGAAGTGCCAGATCAAGAGAAAATAGGTGGCGACAGGAGAGGGGCGCAAAGGCAATGCGCCTCCTCGCCACTCAGAAGATCGTAGTAGGCATACCACGACATCGCAAGCAGAGAGTAGAAGCCTCAGGACGAGCGACACTCAATCAAGGACTTCTAGAACTCGTTACTCCAGATCTGAGAGAACGAGATCATTAAGGTCTTACACAGAGGGAAGTACCTATCGGCCCTCACACACGCACTATACATCATCCAGGCAAACGGAGTTGCCTAGATCGTCCGACTTACGGACTGTGCTTGAAGAAAGGGCGCGACAGAAGGAGGATGCTAGGGCACGCGACCCGCACAAAGTTTCAACCCTTCGGCGGTTGGCTTCTCGGACGCATGGAAGCATCGAGGTTGGAATGCCAGTACCACACCTTGCCTACGAACCAACAGATAAAGTGTTGGCAAGACTACATAGCTTGCCGTTCGTTCCGGCGATTGAGAACGCATCATTACCCTCAAGCTTTATCCAGCCTAAATTTATCACGTACGAAGGGAAGACAGACCCTTACATGCACCTAAGCCACTTCCGCCAGGTTATGGCGGTATATCGACGAAACGAGGCTTTGATGTGCATCCTCTTCCCATCAAGCCTTGGTGACCTAGGCTTGACTTGGTTCGAAAAACTTCCAGAAGGCAGCATAGCCTCCTGGGCGCAATTGGCGGAGGCATTCGTAACAAGGTTCAGAACAAACACCAAAACCCCGGTGGAAATTGATCAACTGCTCTTCATCGACATGGGCGAAAAAGAGTCATTAAAATCCTATAACAGCCGCTTCTGGGAGACCTTCAACCAGATTGGGGACTGCCCCACCAATCTCGCTATCGCACAGTACAAAAGAGGCCTTCCAGTCGGGAACAGACTAAGGGACTCAATCACTATGACACCGCCTCTCACGATGGAGGCCTTAATGGAGAGAGTGCACCAACACATTCGGGTAGAAAAAGATGGAAACCGTGCTAAGGCAAAGTCTAGCACGACCGCAGTACCAGATAAAAAGATCGCGGCAAAGGTCAACGCCGTAAAACGTCCGAACAAAAACGGACGAGGCAGTCGGGACAACGGAGAAGACCAGGATAAAAGATGGTTGAGAGTCCGCACTGCCATTACCACGGTATTCAAAAAGCCAATCTACCGGATTGTAAGTGAGATACGCGATGAACCTTTCATCAGATGGCCTGCCAAGCTAGGAGAGGCTCAGAAGGACTATGACAAAAGATCACAGTGCACCTTCCATAAAGAAAAAGGGCACCGCACTGAAAATTGTACACCATTGAGACAACATTTAGAAGAGTTGGTGGCGGCCAGTCACCTGGACAAATACATTGAAGGAGGGGCGCAGCCAGCCCCCCAGAATGACAACCACCCGAACGGAATGCCAATCGACGCCCCACCTTAAGGCGTGATAAACGTAATACATGGGGTATT